CGTCACTCCCTTCTCCTCCATTCTCCTCTTGGGATCTTGGGCACGCATGCCCACGCACCCGACGTGAGTTTAAGCCACCAGGTCCGGGACTCGAACCACTGTCAACTATGTGGGAGTCCAGCGACATAGCCATTATGCTAACTGCTGGTCCCTTTAACTTTGTATATATAATCCATAGGTTGAACAGAGCGATTAGAGAATTTAAAATTATTTTCACCATCAAGAAATATTTGGGGACCAGCAGTTAACGTAATGGCTATGTCACTGGACTCCCACATAGTCGACCGCGGTTCGCGTCCTGGACCCTGTGGCTTAAAACTCACGCCGGGCGCGCGTGTGTGTGTGCCCAAGATCCCAAGAGGAGTACGGAGGAGAAGGGATTGCAGCGTGGCCATCCCCCCTGGGGGGGTGATTTCTCACTTTCTATCTCTCCGTCTCTCTGTCTGGCGAGCACACGCGCCCTATAGCAAAAACCTCTCAAAAAAAAAAAAAAAAAGAAATATTTGGAAGTTTGCAAATCCTAATAAATCCACAGTTGGGAGTGAATAGAATTGTATCAACTAAATTCATCTTGCATATGAAAATAGATAAAACAAAATTAATAAGTAGCCGTTCATACTTAACAAGATATATTATGTGGTACTAATCATTCTCAATGAACTCACAGAATATTCTATTGTTTTGTTTGTAATTCCAGGGCCTGTATGGTGTCATAGCAGTAAAACCTGACACTGTGAGGCTGATCCACATGGGAAGGTTCTGGGTTCACAGAAACATCCCTAATTAGGTGACACATACAGCGCACATATGTGCCCATGACCCACAGCTGACTGGAGCTGGGGGTGGACTGCAGCGTTTAAGACCCTGTTATGGTTGCTATCTCTTTGCCTCCTCTCTCTCTTGCTGACAAAAGAAATCAATTTAAGACAATAAAAAAGAATTCAAAGCTTTAACGCTCCAATTCTCCTTTTGTCTTTTTTAATGTGAGCAAAATAAAAATATCTTGGGAACAGCTCACCTCATCCCACCAGGGAAGTTTCCTGAAGCAAATTTACTAATTTGTTCATCCTTCTTTCCTGGTCTTTGATGCTGAGATCTCCTTAAAAAGGACAGCGGATGCTGAAGATAACACATAAACTAGGCTTTCTAGACCTCGGAGGTTTTTCTGGTTTTTTTTTTTTTTTTTAAGTTTTATTTCTGGGAACAGCAGTTGGTGTAATGGCTACATTGCTGGACTCCCATGTAGTCGACTGCAGTTTGAGTCCTGGACCCAGTGGCTTATACTCGTGCCCAAGATCCCAAGAGGAAAATAGAGAAGGAATTATGGCATGGCCATCACCCCCCACCCCGGAGGGGGGTTGATTTCTCGCTTTCTGTCTCTCTGTTTCTTTCTGGTGAGTGCATGTGCCCTATAACAAAAACCTCTCAAAAACAAACAAAAAAAACCCACCTTTTTTCTTCCATAAGGGGTAGAAATAGAGAGGGAGGGAAGGAAAGCAGGATAGTACCACCAAGACCATGATCCACCTGCAAGCGGCCTTCAGTTGTCCCCAGATCAGCCCAAGCCACTCAGGTGGGTCTCCAGATTTGGACCAGGAACTTTCCTGTGGCATTTTACCTCTGTGCAGTGACACCATCTGGCCCCAGACCCCAGTGTTTTGATCCTTACTGTCTTCAGCTTTCTGAAGGGCTGGTAGAACTTCTTCATTCTGTTAGGGGACTGTGACTCAACAGAAGTTTGAAACAGAAATGTGTAGGTGTTTTCCTTATTGCTCTTTCCTTTCCTGAACCATTACAGTACTTTTTGTTAATGACATTTCCTCATTTATAGTCAGCTCTGCAGTTTCCTCTTTGGTATTTCTTTTGCCCACTTCCATTTTATCTTTAAAAATATACTTCTAATTGGTTTTTAGTTTTATTTTGTCAATGTACACCTGCAGCTACACAAATCTGATTATATTTTAGTTGTATGGTGTGGAACAGCTTTCAACTGAATTACAAAATGACAAGCAGTGTAAATTATAAAGCACAAAACAGCGTGTATTAGAGCACTGTCAGCAATAAATAAAAATAGTTTTTGAGAGGAAATAAGCTTGGCAAGCGGGGGAGTAGGCTGGAGGAGGAAATGATCCACAGGAACGGGAAGAGCCATACTTTGGGAAGCATCTGAGGGACAAGGACAAGGGAAACAGAGACTCTTGATCTTGGGCAGTCCTTCAAGCGTTAAGTAACAGGGCAGCTGGGTTACCTTCGATTGCCAGTCTCTTTCCCCAAAGGTGCACTGGACCTTTATTTCCCATGGACCACTCACTCCGCATTGTCGAGCACCTAAATTGTGTTGGGAACTGTACAGGAACTGGGTTTACAAAGACGGGGGAAACAAAAAAAGCACAGTTCCTGTCCTCAAGGCTCCTAGTTTTTAAAACAGAATACCATCAGAGGTAGGTACAAAGGCCTTGTTGCAAAAAGGGACAGAAACAACCAAAAGCTTGGAAAAGTCCTCAGGGTTCCCTACAGAGGAAGTGAGCTGCGGTCCCAAGGACAAATGATTTTGTTAGGCTTTCGTTATCTTTTGAAAATAAACGATACAGTGAAGTAGATTGTGTAGAAGAGAAAGAACTGGGATGAAGGATATTTCACATAAAAGGTTTAAAACATTTAACGGGAGCAGGGACTGAGAGAAGTCCCGTGCGCTGTCGGTAAAGGGCGCGGGCTACGAGGAGCGAAAACCTTGTCCCCTGCAGCCTTGCACTTCGGCCGCCAGTCAAGGTTGACAGTAGTTCTGAGCGTGTCCTTGGGGTGGGGAGACCGTCCACCCAACCTGGGCGAGATTTTGCACACAATGTGGTAAGAAGCCTCATTTCTCGGTTCCAATCTCTTCTCCCCTTACCCCTTACAGTTTTAGGGCGGTGTGGAGTATGGCAGCAGGGATTTGCAGAGGTTTTCCTCACCAGCTTTTGAAGAAGAGAAGCATTTAAATTAGCGGGAGAGCGGTTAACACCCGCAACCCTGGCCCCGCGGCACGCCCGGTCACCGGCCGGGGTTCGCTCGGAGCCCGGCCTCCGGCAGGAGCCTA